TGTCCCGACTTCTTCAATTACAGTAGAACCTCAATTATCCAGATTTTCGATTATCCAGATTGTTCAAAATAAACAAAAATTTTACGAATTTGCTGATTTGCACTTGGCGAATTACGATACTGTTTATGTATGTGATGGAATACATAACTGTTTTTGTTTCAACAACATCTCACCCGGCACAGTGGCCGTAAACTCTTAAATATATTTTGCGTCGTAATAAAAATATAATTTGACATATGTATTTATAAATAATTTATTTTCAAATTACATCATTTCTATGACCAAGGGCGGCATAAGGCATGGGCAACGTGGGCCACCGCCTGTGCCTCGTGGTCTGAAGGTCCTCGCATTTCAAAGGTTTATGCATTACTTAAAAGCCGCGAACGTGACGAAAAAATTTTACTCATCATAAAACGATAAATAGTTTCAATTCAAACACAAATTATTTATCATATTTATACAGACACTTGGCAAATCACAGAATTAAATTTTATTCAGTTGCTTTTTATTTTATAAAATCCATCTTCTTGCGCTACCAGAGGACCTTTTAAACAATACTGTTTAAAAGGCTGTTGACAAAACTGTTAGCGTTGGTCAGTAGTAGTCCAAATTCAATACGAACGTTTGTTTCTTGAAAATTTGATCACTGTTTAAATACAGTATTTACTTTTAATATTACCGATATGTCATCGAAAAGAAAACGTGTTGTATTATCATTAAAAGACAAATTAAGTATTTGTTTCGGTTATCCGAATTTTTTCCTTATCCGGACTACCTTCATCCCCAATTAATCCGGATAATTGAGGTTCTACTGTATATTAATTTACAAACTTATAAGATTTAGCATTCCATACCATACGTGGATGACTTCTATAAATTGTGTTTCTGTTTAAGAAAAAAATGTGAACATTTTGGTACTGCTTATGCCAAATTTAAATTTTTGGTTAATGATAAAGCAGACTTAAATGGGAAAAAGCTGGAATATAGTCCATTCCACTTACCATTCAAATGTCACACCCATGTAGAATGTACTTATATCTCAATTCGTATAAGTATGAATTACTAAGGCAAGAAATATGAAAAATGATACTCCTCTAGTTTGTATACTGTGTTTGTGAAAATTAGTTATATTACATTGTTTTATGTTAGATTCAGTTCTGTCAAACTTGCAGCTTGTGTTACAAATTTAATAATTTTCTTTAAGTCATCATTATGAGATTTTTTTGTATCAAGCTTCTAATGTATTGAGACTCCCCATCTGAAATAACTGAATAACTAGTTAAAAGTAACTCAATGTGTTTTTAGTTGTGCTACAATTTTAGTTTATTAAAAGTTTAATTATACATTTTTATTTATAATTACTGGTTTTTTTATGTAAACAACAAAATGTTGTAATAAAATAATCAATTAATCTAATCTACATAATTTATCTACATTTTGCTTTTGTTCTATTATTTTGAATTTGAAATAATTCAATCCTCTAACCCTGACAATGATGAGAAAAAATTAAAAGAAAGTTTTTTTAATCAAAAACACTTGATTTAAAATTTTATTCTGTTTCAATTATAACTGTTAGCATCCTGAAGATTGTTCACTTTTTTTCAGATAAAAATTAGATATTGCTACATAACATGTATAGATAAACAAACAGTGCTGTAACTAGACAGGTGCAATGGGTATGGTGGAGTCAGTAAACCAATAGTCAAACTCTGGCAAATTTGAAAGTGTGTGTGTGACTCCAACTCTGACCTGTCACACTAGATATCTGAATATTTTTATCTAAAATTTCTGTATAAAATGTTGTACTAAAATTGATTTGTAAGAATCAAAAAATGGATATATTGAATTTATATCAAACTTTTGAGTACCTAAAGAAATATACATCTTAAAAGTTTGACTGATTATTAGTTGNAATTTCTGTATAAAATGTTGTACTAAAATTGATTTTGTAAGAATCAAAAAATGGATATATTGAACTTATATCAAACTTTTGAGTACCTAAAGAAATATACATCTTAAAAGTTTGACTGATTATTAGTTGATTAAATTTAAATCAATTTTTGATAATTATTTTAAAGAAAAGATTTAAATACAATAAATGAAAAAACAATAATTTAATTAATGAATGTCGTAATAAATTGGTTTGCAAAATAGTTTCTCTCATGCTGGCTACTATGAGAATAGTTAATTTCCAACCAATGATTGACTAAACACAAGTATATTGTAGAATTTTAAAATATGAATTTTGGAAAAATATACTAGTCATCTTGAACTGATTGCATACAACACTGTCTGAAGAAATTAAACTGGAACAATCCTATTAATTACATTTTGCAGTTTTTGCTTTCTTCTCTAGTTTGTTGTAGTTGATTCTGATCTTGGCTTTATTTTTTCATTTGTATTTCTATTGACTGTTTTAAGACCAAATTATGTTACAGAAGCAATAATAAACAGTTATAATAGAAAGGCAGTGAAAAAGTTAATCTATCAAAAACAATTGATTATATAAAAAAACAATATTGCACTGAGTAAAAATTATGGGACCCAAAATGAAAATCAAATTTTATCTTGGGAGTTTCTCTTTGCTAAAGCATTTTTGAGCTTGGCACTTCGAAGCCATACCATAAACTTTTTATTATTGTCTCTGCACTTTGTGTTCTTGCTTAAACAACATAGTGATATGGTGGAGCTTTCAACAACAAATTTCAAAGATATTTGGGCTGAAATTTGAAAAAATTGTAGACTTATAATTTCCCACTGTTATTTGTCTCTGATTTTCTTAATCTTGAGAACAGAGTTAAGTAGATGAAAGATGAGACCAGATATGGAAACCATATGGGCAGGAGGCCTCGACTAACTATATATGCACTTCTGATACAAACTTCCAGTTTGTATCGGAATGTTATTGTTATTTAATGTTATTTCAATTCAAAAATTTTTCCCTAAAAGGTGTTAGATAGATGACTGGTACAACTTTATTGTTAAAAGGAAAAGTATGATGTATGGAAGTAAGCCACTACTAATTTGAGGTGGAGAGCATATATTTTAAATTAAATAAATTAAAAATGTGTTTAAAAATTGCAGCCCAGCATTGTGACGATTCACAAAAAACAATAGCTTAAAATTTAATGGTGATTTAAGCTTTTATATCAGCTTCTAATATGAAAATAGCGCACCTTTTTGAAATGTTTTCACTTGGATACCAAGAGCTTTTTTTGGCTTTTCTATTTTATCAACTAAGCATTTCAGTCACTTTAAACTGAATAGGAATATCCTCTTCAGTTTAAAGCAGATGCTTTTTTGGTTACAAGTTTTTACAGATTCACTGAAGACTATACATTAAATATCCTTTTTTTATTTTTTATTACATTCTCTTTTTTATTGGTTTTATCTGAAACAATTTCTAAAAATATATTGGAACATTTGCTGTTTTAATTTTCTAAAAGAGAATTTTTAATTTTAGAAACTCATTTTCTTTTTTTTCCTTTTTAACAATTTTTTTATAATTTTTTTTACAAGACTAGAATTTCTCATTTTTTTTTCCTTGATAGTATCTCTAGATCATTTTATTTTGTATTAGTAAAGTACAGGTTTTGTCTTGACATGTATATTCTGAGCTACTGCAATGTTTATATGAGCTATTATATAAATTCGTTGTTTTTTCATACATTGAAAGCCAGCCAGATGACTGAGCAGTACACTGTCTCTTCAAAGGATCTGCAATGAAATCCTGGTCAAGATTGCTGCAAAAAATTTTCCACATAGAACCACCCATGTATCTTCTCCATCCAACACCTATGCTGCACTAGTGGCTAAGCAGATTCAATCCTTAAACAATGGTAGTTGGATTGGGTTGGCACCTGTGCCGACAGGTTGGCTGGTGCATTTTCCAAGTTTTCTTCACTTAATAGGGGCCACCTTTCATTAAAACATCACCCAGAAGGCACATTCCCTCAATTGCAGTGTGATTGCAGGTTTATTGATCGGTTTAGATACCGATCAATAGATACACTAGCACATTGAAAAAATTATTTGCTTTTTGAGTGGTTCATATGCTACACAGTTTCAATTTTGAATTCCATAGCATATAAGCTACTCAAAACAAATATATTAAACTTTATATTTATATATGTTAATAAGTTATCTTTTTACAAATGCAAAGTCAGTCAAGTTTTTATTTCCATGTTTCATAATTTTTGTTGGATAGCAAAAACATACCTAGCCTGGCATGTGTTATATAGAGAATACAGCTTTCTAGGCAATGTGAAAATATTCATTTAAATTATAAAAGCTATTTTCTGAAAGTATGGAGCATGTTGCATGAGATTTGATAAAATTTTGGTGTGAAATGGCCTTTATAGTTGAATGTATTTTTGATATCTAAATTTATCGAAGTGTCCATTTTCTAAGAAATTTCTTTAGATACTAATTAAGTATTTTTGTACTTTACATTTTACCAACAGTAAAATTTGGGGCTGAAAGAATTGGATTATGGAGTTGAAAGAATTTTAACGACTCTGACCCTGCTCTAAATCATCCAACTCCACAACATTGGTGCAGGCACAAGGCCCAGGACAAAGGTGATCCTAAAATGAGGGCATGAAAAAAATTAATCAGTATTATATTTTCAAACTAAATTTTGTTGTCCTGAGGGCCAATTCTGTGACATTTGTGATTAAGGTTAAAAATTAACCAGCCATATCTAGCTCCATTTATTTTCAGGATCCCATTTGTTGGGAAAAAAATATTTTTCCAATAAATGGAGACTTGAAAATAAAATCTCGCACAGGGCACATGAAAACTAGTTACTAACACTATAAACAAATACTCAATTCTGTGATTCTACTTTTGAAATATTATAAATATCATAGATATATCATGACTGAGAGTTAAAATATATATAGTCTAATTGCTAATATATGGGTATATAACAAATTACTAAATTTGTACTAAATAAATGAGAGAAATGATTGCTAAATGTTTATTATTTTTTTTAATAGGATTCAGAACACTATATAAAGGGCTTGGTCCCACCATACTCCGGACGTTTCCATCCACAGGAGCACTATTTGTTTCTTATGAATATACCAAGAAGTTCCTACATTATGTTACAGGAACAAAAGAAGAATGAAAATGAAGAAACTGCCATTGCAAAAACATTTGTCATGTGCCTTTTTAAACTGGATATTTCACATTCCATTTTTTAAAGTTTTATAAATGGTGAAAATCATTTTGCATATTTTGATAGATGATGATAATATTGAGAGAACTAGTTTACATGAAAATTTTATTAATTAGAAAAGAATGCTGTTATACAATGTTTGTATATATTTAATAAAAGCAAATATTTTGTTATGTGCCATTTAATATAAATCAAATTTTCTGATGAGTATTATTTCAAGATAAAAATGTGTTATATTAACACTAGTATTGTGTAAAATTTACACTGACACTAATTTCAGTATTTTGCATTTTATTTTCTACTAAGTCTTTCAAAACTTTTGAATCTCTTCTAGTAGATTCATTTGTACATAGATTACATTTAATATTAACTTTTTCTAAATACTTGTGTAACTTAGAATAGACTATGCACTGTAGTTTAAAAATCTTTTCAAAGATTTGGTAAAGGACTGTTTTCTTACTATTTATCTTATCGACAAGTGTTTCAAAGCTGTTTGATAAATGTCTTGAGTGCCTGTTTTTATTTGAAATTTGTACTTTATACTTATGTACAAATATTTCTTAAGGGGAATGAATGTAGAATTAGTCATAGTTTAGTTCAGTAAAAAGATTCATTATTCTTTGAATTTGTTTATTTAATATATTTGTAAAAATATAACTAAATTCTTTGACAGAGCTAAATTTGATAAACTATGCTTTAGATTTTAGAAATATTTTTGTACTTTACAATAATAAAAAATGTATTGTATTAACAAGATATAAAGAATAAAACATTTTGAATGTTGTAATTACTATTATTAATTGACTTTATAAGATGAATAGTTTTATAAGTTATTTAAAGTTTTTAAACATGCAATTTCTTTTAGCATTATGCATGACATTTACAATCAAGTTTCAGACTGTAACAATCAAAACTTGTGTTCTAAAGTTATAAAGGTTCTAAAAATATTCTTGGTTCTAAAAGTCTTATAAGTTTTTAAAATAATTTTTGATTGGCTTTTAAGTCATAATAATTGGGGAAAAGAAATCCAAACTAATTCAGATAATCAGCATCAATTACATGCAAAAACTATTGTAAATAGTACTGATTAAAGTTTAATTTTTAAAATGGTAAATCTAGTATACTGCTACTAATAACAACTTACTATGTTAATAAGAAAAAAAAAGTAATTAAAATTTATGACAATAATAATAATATTCATAATGACACACAAAATTGATTTGTCAGGAAAGTGAGACTTTTTCCCGTTTTAATTTTGAAAATTTAAAAGTTTGTTGAAATTTATAATTTAGTAAATTAAAAAATTTTAAATTTTTTTTAACATCTGGATTATAATATATAATTAATTTTTTTCTAGAGAGCAAAATATTTGATTGAAATTTTGCTATCTACTTTTGTGTACTGAATTTTCAGCATTCAAATACCTAACACAAGTTCTCAGGAACAGTTAAACTTTTTGGGTTGCAATTTGAAAAAATTGTAGGTCTAAATTTCCACTGTCATCTATCTGTCCTTACTTAATCTCAAGAAGAGAGTTAGATATATGAAAATCAAAACCAGATATGGAAAGCTTAGGGGCAGGAGGTCCTGATTAACTATATATGAACTTCCTGTTTGTACTGGGAGTCACATGATATCAGTTCAAAAATTTTGCCCTGAATAGAATTAGATCAGTGTTCTGCAACCTTTTTTCTAATTGAGGCATACCATGACTCAACACGGCACACCAAAATGTTATTCCCCTCAAAAACGTATGATATGATACTATTAATAGAATTATGTAATGCCACTAACCTATTATTATTGTTATTAAATAGACAACACCTGTGAGCAAATTTATTTTACATATAATTTCGTGGCTTGTAATAAACAATTGTCATCATATTTCATCAGTGCTGTGGCAGAGAATGAAATACAAGCATAAGAAACAACAACTGTGATAATTTCAAGTTTTATTTATATATTTTTAACAGAATATGTAAAAGTTCACGTCACACCTTTCACCATGTGACAGCACACTGGTTGCAGAACACTGAATTAGATGGCCAGCATGACTATTGTTAACAGAAAAAGTATGATGTACAGGGGCAAGATGACACAAAAAATTGCAGCCCAACATTCTGACAATGTCAATACAGGTACAACCTATCTGCTTAACGACCACTAGCACTTACAACCAATCGAGTTTCAATCTGCAATTCAAGAAACCCTTTCTCAGCTTGAGTGTCGATCAGTGGCGATTGGTGACATGCTCACTGAGCATAGTATAAGCTTGATATGGACTTTTTTAGTCAGTTTGATGTAATTTAAACAATTGTGGGCTTGCCAATGTGCTTAATTTAGATGTTGATGTGGAAGACTGAATTAGTGGATTATGCTGATGGAGAGCTAACAAATGAAGATTTAATAGAGTTAGAAGCGATGCAGTAATTGGAAGAGGAAGAAGACGAAAGAACTGAAGAAGTGAAAAAGAAATTCATGGTACATGGGTTAGTTGATGTGTTCTCCAAAATTAATGCAGCTATATTGGAACTTGAGGCTATGGATCCTAATACTGAGCATTTTAACATAAAGTTGAACGTGGGATGAGTGAACTTTTGAAGTGCTATAGAGAAATTTATCAAAAAAAAAAAAAAAAAAAAAAAAGAGGTTTAGTTTCTAAGCCAATTTTACATTCTGAAATGAACANAAAAAAAAAAAAAAAAAAAAAAACATTGCAACGCAAACCACAGTTATGAGTTTCTTTTTGACTGTTACATCCAAGACCTCCACCCTTGAAGGTACAACTTCTATTTCATCGTCATCATCTTCCTTACCTGGAAAAAACCTCTACAGCTCCAGATAACCAAATAAACAAATGATAATATGTACATAGGCATGTCTTTTTATGAATAAATTTGAAGTTTGTTGCATAATTTTTTGCAATGATCCTATATTCCCGGTGCAAGCTCCTCGCTTATTGACCAATTCACTTAACGATGTAGTCATAGGAACGGAACTCGATCATAAAGTGAGGAGTACCTGTAAATATTTGTTCATTGCAATTGAATACTTTTCAGCTATTGTATTCAAATACTCTTGTCTTTAGTTGAAATCACTTTGAATTAATTTAGATTAAGCCTAGTAATAAAATGTTTACATATGTAATAAAAGTATTTTTACTATAAAAATGAGTGTAACTGTACAACATTTATCTAGCATAATTTAAAGATTAAAAACACTAAAAACAAAAAATTTCTATTGATTTTAGTTTACAGAGACTTAATGAATTTAAAATCAATGAATCAAAAGATGCTGAAGAAAACTCTGAAAAACAGTAAAAAATGACTACTATAGAATCATGCCAGTCACTTATGTAACTCCATTCAGGGAAAAATTTTAAAATTGAAATTAAGTAACTTATAGTCTAGACCAGAAGTTCATATATAGTTAATCGAGGTCTCTTACCCCTAACTTCTGGTCTTGCCTTTCGTCTATCTAACACCATTCTTGAGATTAAGGAAGAACAGATAGATAACAGTGGGAATTTGACCAATTTTTTCAAATTTTAACCCAAAAACTTGCAGTGGCCACATAGAACTGTTAAGAAATTGTATCAATATGCATGACTACCAAACCAAAATCTACACGATGTTCTTTATAACTTCAATTTTTCTGCATCTGACCTGTACTGTATAACCTATTTCAATTTTTGTTTAAATAAAACATTTAAGGCACTCTGGTTGCATTTACCTGGTATACAAAGATATGTAAATGATTATGACACATTTATTTTTGTCATTATTTAATATTTTTCATGAGTAGTTTGGTCTGTCTTGTCGACAATTGACATGTGACTCAATATTTATAACTCTAGTAAGCTACAAACATTTTCTTTTCAGCCACTAAGGTGAGTTTTGAGGACTAAATTTAATTTTTAAGCTGATATCCCTAGCCTAACGTTTTGCCTTGTTGATGCATAACTGCATTATCTTTCAATTTTGTTAATAAAAAGGTAATGCTATTAAAAATGAAGAAAATAAAGCAAAATGGTAAACCAGTGTAGAAATAAATTTTATATTAATTAAAATAACATTTGTATACAACTTAAACAACTTGAGGTAGGAATTTTTTTTTCTATTCTCTTATAATTTTTTTAAACAGTATTTGACAAGCAAAACAAAATTTCAACATTCTATCAGATGGCCTGATCATTACAATCCAGATTTTTATCAGTATTGTTTGTTGAAGGAGACCTATTCTCTTCAGCAAATAAGTGATTTAATGTTGATAATATCCAGGAGTCAAATTATTTTATATTTAATTTTTGAATTTATATTTCAGCATTTGTAACTATTGAAGGAGACAGTGCAATATTAGAAATTACTTGATCTTGTAAAAAATCTGAAAGGTCACTAATAAATAGGTTAAAAAGTATATGGCTTAAAGGATTGCCCCAGTGAAATCCTTTATTGGAAGATACTGATTCTGTATAATATGAGAATCCATCTCTGAGATACTTAACTGCAATTGGAAGATAGTTGTGTAAATTAATGAATGTTGAGGACATTCCTTTTCTTTACTGAGATTGAGCCATAAACCATTTGATTCCATCAACTATGCTATTTTAAGTCTATAAAGCTTGAAGCTTATTTTGGAAAGAGCTGATTGGATAAAACTGTTCAAAATGAATAAATTGCATCTGATGCCTCTCTCCCTGATAAAAACACCTTGACAAGGAGATAAAGTGTTATAATCTTCAGTCTATAATTGTAGCTGACTTGCTAAAACAGTTGAAGGAAAAAAAGCTTCCTAAACATGTTTATTAGTGCAATTAGGCAGTAATTTGTAGGTAGTGATCTGCTTTCTTTTCTGTAAATCATTTTTAAACAAACTTGTTTCCAGAATGGAAGGAAAACTCTGATTTAAACAGGTTAAATATAGTTAAAATATCATTGAGAATATTGATGGGAAGTAGTTTTATTTCATTTCTAATATCAATTCCACATGATTTTCTTGCTTTTAAGTTACTAATGACAAATTCTAACTTAGCTAAGGGTCATCTAGGATAGGGATATACAGAAGGGAATACGTACATTTAAGTAAATGTTGCGTGAAGACTTGCAAAAAGTTTTCAAATAGTCTAACC